TCGTTGTTTTCGCGGGGCTGGTCGGGGCCGCGAGGGAGAGGCTTATAACACGCCTCTCGACCTCAACAAGATGGATCGCGGCGGGACCGCAGCTGCGTAGCGCGTCCGGACTGGAATATTCCCCTCCTCCCCCTTACATCTTCAACCTACCCCGTCCCCCTTTACATCCTCAACCTTTCCCCCCTCCCCCTTTACATCCTCTACCCCCTCCCCCTTTACATCCTCAACGTCACCCCCCCCCTTCTTACACTTTACATCCCCAACCATCTCTCTGTTTCCTTTGCCGGTTTTTCCTCCCATCCGCACGAAAAAGCACCAACTTCCCCAAAAAGCAGAAAAACGAAACAGAACGCGAAAGCCGGCGAAAACCCGCGAAAAACGTACGCGAGACGCTGCGAACACGACAAAATGTTAGCTTTTGATTAAAACGCAGGGCGCGTGGCTTGAAGGCTCGAGGTGGTTATTTGCAGCCCTTTGCAGCTGCGGCGGGCCCGGGCCGGGCGGCAGCCGGGGCGGCAGTCACCGCAAGAGTCCTGCCCTTTTCCCTTTTCGCATTTTAATTACCGAGGGGTGGGTCGGGCAAGACGGCGGCGCCGCTGCAGCCGGGAATTGCAGGTGAAATTCGCAGGTACTGCCGCCGAGTTGGCGCTTTTCTGCCGCCGAGTTGGCGCTTTTCTACGACCTCGACACTCGGCTCCGAAAAGTTTTCGGCCCGCACGCCGGCGGCGCGCGAGGCTCGGCTCAAGCGCGGCCGCGCGGGTGCATACCTCTCGGCTCCCCGGCATAGCGGCCGCGGTCGGAAAACGAAAGTGAAAGGGAGGAAGGGGGGAGGGGGAGTTCGCGTAAGGCTCGACGCGTCGCGCAACGCAGCCCTCGCGGGCGGGGCAGAGGCCACCGCGGGGGAGGGGCGGCGGGTGCGTGGCGGGGTGTGGCGTGGTGGGGCGGGATGGCGTGGCGCGGCTGCGTTCTTGGAAGGGCGTTGGCTTTCTGAAATGTTATTTAGCTGATGCATACTTGCTTCCATTACTCTGCGCTGTCCCGCCACGCCACCGCGCGCCACCGAATGCACGTCGCCGCGTTTTTTTAGAGGCGTGTCTCACACAGAAGGAACGGGACGGGGTGTTGGGTTGGGGGGATTCAGAACGCGGGAATGCGGTCGCAGAGGTTCTTTTATTCTACCCCCCCCCCCTCTTTAACCCCCCCTAATACCTCAAATAAAGAATATGTGCGTGGTGCTAGGGCTGCGTTCTCCTGTAAGCGCGAAAAAGTATTTTATGAGAAATAGAAATGTATGAGGGTGGCGAAAGCCCGCGAAATATGTATGTAATGTTGAAGCGTCGTTATGCAAAGGAAAAGTCTCCGGGCTCTAGGAGGAGAGCAAGTAGTGTATGCACGAAGTGCGCGTGTTGTGTTCGAATAAACCCACGCCGTGCCGCCACATCCTCGACCTTGACCATTAAGGACCGCCACTGCTAGGGTAGCGGTGGGCCACGTCGTTTACACGGCGCGCCGCCCCCATCTCTCTCTCGCTCTCGCTCTCTCCCTCTCTCCT